ATACATTCTACATCTACTATGGAAAGTAAAAAGTTATTGCATATTTATACTATTTTTAAATATGAAAAAGGTAGCAACAAATAATAATATATTTAATACTTATATGACTAACTTGAGTATAGCAACTATATTAAAAGACTGAATACTTTATCCCTCTATATTAACAATCTTCTTATGTTTAGAGGAAAACTAAAGACCATTCAGATTAATCATCATTTATTAGCATTTTACAAGGTGTTTCACTTTGGTGAGAATATTATATGATTAGATTCTTTAAAACTCCACAAGCTACAGAGAAAAAAAAAAATCAAAGTTGACTTCCAAAATTTTAAAATGTTTTTATTTTTTTTTCAACTTTTTATTTTTTTTATTTTTTGGGACAGAGAGAGACAGAGCATGAACGGGGGAGGGGCAGAGAGAGAGGGAGACACAGAATCGGAAACAGGCTCCAGGCTCCGAGCCATCAGCCCAGAGCCTGACGCGGGGCTCGAACTCACGGACCGCGAGATCGTGACCTGGCTGAAGTCGGACGCTTAACCGAATGCGCCACCCAGGCGCCCCTAAAATGTTTTTAAAAGAAAGAAAATCTTTTCAAAAGTAGCTTCCTATATGAAAGCTTTCTTTTGTATCAAATATTTTATCATCTTGTATCAAATGACTTTCTGATTAAACCTATTAAAATATTCACATATAATATACAGTATTTAAAGATGTATTGTCTTAAAGTATTTATTTAATAACATCTATATAAAGTGACAGTACCCTATCTTTTGAAGAAAAGTCTCCTGGAAAATGTCCAAATTTCTGGAATACAGGGACCTTAGCAACTAAGGTTTTTGGGGAACTTTCATCAAGGGAGAGCCCTACACTTATTTGAGACCCAGATCATGTTTGGGAAGATATACTATAAAGTTTTATAAAGTAATCCAACAGGGGCACCTGGGTGGTTCAGTTGGTTAAGCATCTGACTTCGGCTCAGGTCATGATCTCACAGTTGGTTAATTCAAGCCCTGCATTCAGCTCTCTGCTGTCAGCACAAAGCCTGCTTTGGATCCTCTGTCCCTCTGTCTCTGTCCCTCCCCTGCCTGTGCGCTCTCTCTCTCTCTCTCTCTCTCTCTCTCTTTCTCTTTCTCCAAAATAAACATTGAAAAAAAAATAAAGTAATCCAATAGGTCAAATAAGATGAGCTCTATGATTCACAAAGATGCAAGAGAAACCTTCCTATAAGTTTATTTTTAAAAAGTTAAAATCTAACAATTTAGAAAAGTATTGTCCTTTGGGAATGCAAAGTGGTATAGCCTCTGTAGAAAAGAGTATGAATGTTCCTCAAAAAGTTAAAAATAGAACTACCTATGATCCAGTAATCAACACTACTGGGTATTTATCCAAAACATTAATTCAGAGGGACACACACACCCCTATGTTTACTGCATTATTTACAATAGCCAAACCATGGAAACTGCCCAAGGGCCCATCGCTGGATGAATGGACAAAGAAGTGGTGTATGTATGTGTTCATGTATGTGTTCATGTGCTCACACATATATGCATACATTCTTTTTTAGGCTTTTTAATAATATTCCATTGTATATAATGAATATTATTCAGCCATAAGAAAGAATGAAATCTTGCCATTTGCAATACATAATTGGAGCTAGACAGTATAATGCTAAGCAAAATTAGAGAAAGACAAATACCATACGATTTCACTCATATGTGGAATTTAAGAAACAATGAGCGAAGAAAAACACACACACACACACAGAGAGAGAGCGTGAACGAGAACAGCAAACCAAGCAACAGATTCTTAACTATAGAGAACTGACGGTTAACAGAAGGGAGGTGGGTGGGGGAGGGGTTAAGTAAGTAATGGGGCTCAAGGAGTGCACTTGTGATGAACACTGGGTGATGTATGAAATTGTTGAATCGCTATATTGTACACCGGAAGCTGATATAACACTTTATGTTAACTATACTTAAAAGAAAAGAAAAAACCAAAATGTCCTCAATACAAAATTACTTATCTGAAATAAACACAAACCAATTATTAACCATAATTATTAACGATAATTATAACCATAATTGATTTGGTAAATTTCAGAAATAGACCCTAGTCTATGAATGATTAAGCAAGAATTATATTTAAGTGGAACAGAATAGTATTATGAATATCTGAAGCTAAAAAAATTTGAAGTGGATATAAAATTGCTGTAAAGATGACTTTCTAAACTTGAGCAAGCGAAAGTTATAACACAATTATAGAAAATGAAACATTTTTATATTTCAAACTATAAAAATCAAAAGCCAAATTGAGAAAATATACTTAAAAGGTAAATACTGAGGCACAATGAGCTGATGTGTGTAAATCATTAAAAACAAGACGAATGCAACACAGTTCACAAAGAAGGAAATACAAATGGACTAATAAGCACTTGAAAAAATGTTCAACTTTAGTAGCACTCAGAGAAATGTAAATTAAGACAAAACATAATTTTCTAATTTATTAACAAAAATGTTTAAAAAAATGAGAATATTCAACCAAAGAATATTCATAAACTAACAGCTTTAAAAGTTGGTGAAATTAGAATATACTTTCAGAAATCAATTTGGCAACATGCATCAAAAAGTCTTAAAACTATCCTTTTCTATTCCATATCCTAATAATTATGAATATCTGTCAATCATTTATACATAAATGTATAACATTGAAAAGATAGAAATAATAATTGATCTATGACCTCATTACTGACTAATGCAAAATAAATTAGATATGGCATATCCAGGTATTACAAATTACAGATTAAGAATCACAAGAATAACAGGAAACATTGAGAAAGTTCAGTGAGATGCTAAACAACATATTTACTCTATCATATAACTGTTTTTAAAAGGTAGAAAATTTTAAAACTGAAAGAAAAATGTGCCAAAATATTAAAAGTGATTTTTTTGGATAGGAGGATTATCGATAATGATCTTTTGGTCAACCACTTTTTAAGTGTTTTCTGTAACACAAAAGTATTATTTTTTAAGTTGGAAAAATGAAATAAACTTAGCTATTCTTAAAAATGAAATGCCTTCAGGAAAAATGTAAATTTGAATGAAAACATTATTGAGATTACATTGGATGTAACATATTCTTAAAATTTTTGCTTCCTATCAGGTTTTAACTTTCCAGATTGATAGAATAGAGAACTGCTGAGAGGCTCAGTATGATAGACCAGGGGGTCTGGGCAAAATTCACAAACAGTACAGACAATTTATCATCATATAAGTCATCTAAATGACTCTGGCCAATACTAAATGAGCCAGTGTTCAAATACCAGAATGTCTGGTAACTTAGGCAGTAATCAATTATTTTAAAATGATTTCCAGAAGCATATTCTTAAAATCAATGTTAAACCTTTCTGATCTCCATTTTAGTTAAAACTTTAAGAAATTTTTGAGAATACTTCCTGAATTTCAAGTGTACTCTTCTAAACAAGAAATTGTGCTTACGATTATTTTTTTCTGCTGGAAGAAACATGTGTGATACATTAAGGTACTCAGTTTGCTTTATTAAAGGTAAAATATGTCTGTAAAAGTGAAAGCAAAAAAGGCAAAAAGGCATCTCTGTCTACCCCTGGGGAAACTTTAGGTGAATTTGCAGCTCTGAGTTGTAAACTATGGTAATTTAGCAGTGAAGGTGATGGATTTTAATTAAAGCCTTCTGCAATCCTTAGTGGCTTAGAGGTGGAAGAGCCAAAAGTTTGAGGGAGTGAAAATGTAACTACAATTTCCTTAATTCTTTTGCTTCTAAGTTAGTGGTATCTTTATCTATTTATCTATCTATCTATCTATCTATCTATCTATTTATCTATCTATTTTAAGAGAGAGTGCACCTGTGCACATGCGAGCAAGCAAGCAGGGGAGGGGTAGAGGGAGAGGCAGTGAGAAGCTCAAGTAGGCTCCATGCCCAGTGCGGACCCAACACGGGGCTGGATCCTGTGACCATGAGATCATGAGCTGAGCCAATATCCAGAGTCAGACGCTTAACCAACTGAGCCACCGAGGAACCTCAGTTCATTGTATCTTTCAGCTTTGGAATATATACATATATATATATATATACACACATATATATGTAAATATATATATGTAAAACTGTAAAGCTGTTACTTTTCTATTTTTAATTTTTTTCCAAGAGTTTTTACTAAAGAAAGTTTCAAAATATACAAAAGTAGAGCAAATGAGACAGTGAACACACCCTTCCCGTTAAGCACCCATCACCCAACTTTGGCAATTACTATTTATCACCAATCTTGTTTCATCTACAAATTCCCCTCTACAAACTTCATCTACAAATATCCACTTAATTCCCCAGTCATGCTAGAGTATTTTGATTGAAATCTCAGACATATTTTTGTTTATAAAATTTCAGTATAAGCCTCTACAACATACTTTAAAATATATTCACAACAACATTGTCCTGTCTACAGGGGAAACATAATATTCAAACTTTTCAGACTCCCTTTGTCTACATTTTTTTGGATTAGAATATATGTAAGTTTCATTTATGACAACTGATTGATAAATCTCTTAAGACTCTTTTAAATCAATAAATTTTCCCTTCATCACTTTTTTCCTCCCTTAGAGTATCTTGTTGAAAAAATACTAGTTACTTGTCCAATAGAATTGACCCCTTTTCTATAGTTGTTAATTTATTGGTTGCCATAAATTATTACAGATTCGTTATTGATGTAGCAGTCAAGAGAGTGGGAATACTCTGGAACTACAAGATAGACCAGAGGACCAATATCACCTATGACCAATGACCAGTTAGAATAAAAGCGTTACTTGTTACTAACAAGTAAACTAAAGGAGGAAAGCCCATTATTTAAAAAAAAAAAAAAAAAAAAAGCTCTACATTTTAACTATACAAATAAGTGACCATATCTTCTTTTTTTCACTGAAGTTTATTAAACTGCTAATAAAGGTACAAATTGCAAATTTGACAGTACTCACCAGTCTTCATTTCTAACAAGCGCTTTTTCTTTTGTTGGCGTTCAAGTCTTTCTTTCTCTGCTAATTCTTTGGCTATTTGGGCACGTTTTTCCCTTTCCTCTGCTTCTCTTTTTTTTACGTTCTCCTTTCTTGCTTGCTGTTACAAACAAATTTTGAAAAATGATCAATTTTAACCACAGTGATTTCACAAAGAGAATGGAAAATTATTAATCTGTAGAGCTGTGATTAAATATCTTTTAGATAATGGCTACTTCTAATATTAGTAACAGTCTTTTAAAAGATTAGCACATGAACCCTTGCTAAATACGGATCTATAAATACAACTTATGTTTAAAGCACCTGCATCTTAGTAGAATCAACTAAGAGAAGGGAGACGAAACTAAAAATAAAAAAAGCACTTAATTGACAAATCAAAACTGTTTCCCTATATATATTTCCAAGAGGGTCTAGCAAATGTATTTGAGTCTTCCATACATCCTCTGCTAGGTAAAATATTGAGTACAAAAAAAGCAATTGGAGAAATTATAGAAAAGAGCTAAAAGTTTGCAAGGACTGTTTCATATAACAATCAATCATTTAATGATTTCCTCTCAGATAAAGACAAGTGTCATAGGATGACTAGAGGAATCTTTGGCGTTTCAAAGACAGACCTCTGACTTCTCATCAAAGTCACCAAGTCACAATTATGGGATCTCAATAAGTATGTGATTTAATTCCTCATTTTCTAAGTTTTATACAAATCAAGAAACACCTCTCATGTGTCATTAGTGGGAATTAAGAGGTAAACAAGGATTTTTTATGTGCCAACAGCATAGCTCATGCTACAATCTCCTATGTTCTCAGTACCAATGAATTCAAACAAGCTATCTAATTGCTAGTTTATCACTAATGGTATTAAATAGAAAGTGCACAACAAAACTTTAACAAGTAGGTGGCTTTTTTTATTTGGGAGGAAACTTTCAGTTTTCTACTGTCATAGCCTTGTTTTTGTAAACCCTAGAGATAGTGCCAGTTCTTCACTAGAAATCAAATATCAAAATTTAAAATTATCGACCAAAACAATGAAAAGCACATGGGAAAAGAGGAGAAAACAAAAAGCCTTGAGGCAATATTAATTCATACATCTAGCCCTTCATTCAAGAAATACTGAGACACTGAGTGGTAAGTGGTATTATTCCAAGCATTTGACATATATATGTGTGTGTACATATATATATGTACACACACATATATATATGATTTATAATATACATGCATATGCACATACACAATTCTAAAACAAGTTCTATATTCTGTGTGATAGGGTGGTACAGGAAGCAAAGACAGAAAATAATATGAAAATTTTGAAAAAATTATATCATGAAAAAAAGAGTGATGTGATAGAAGGCTTGGGGAGGGGGAGTTACTTCATATTAAGTGGTATAGATAAGGCCTATATCAGATAAGACCCCACTCACTGATTTCATTGATGCTGAAAATTCAATATCAAGAAGCTAGCTAGGTGATGATCTGGGGGAGATCAAACGCAAAGGCTGTTGGTGGGTTTGAGAGACAGAAGGCCAGTATGGTGGTATAAGAGGAGGTCAGGAGCTGTGCCAGATCATTTAGAGTCTTCTAGGCTAAGATAGGGAAGGTTGGACTTTCTTTTAAGGGAACCAGAAAACAACTGGAAATTTTCAAGTAAGAGAATGCAAGACTAAGCACTCTAAGATACAAGTGCTAACCAACCATCTTTGTTCCAAAAAGTAGGATCTCCCTCTTAAGCAAATGGATTTGTTCACTGTCTAGTGTGTAAACTGAGGCAAAGGTTGGGCAGTCTTATTAGCTCTTAAAAAAGATTGGGTTTCCCAAGTTCAAGATTTTCCTCCAGTAATACAAACCACTGTGTATGTAGGTATTAAATCTGGCCTTCTTCACATTTCCCTGTGGGAATTTAGACTCAGGAATGAACAAAGAACTGTTTACTATGGCTGTTGCTATAATAAATTCTGTGACTCTATAGTCTTGTGTTTTCTGCCAACGTCCATGAAACAATGGCAGGCTAACAAGGTAAATTCTCCTACTCCTCACAGTTCATGACATATATTAATACTATTACTGCTAAGCTATGAAATAGCAGCTGCAGTAATAGGTGCTTTCCTATGCAATCCCTCCAATCCTCAGAATGGATTCTGCATTTTCCACTTGGCACTGGCTGATTAAATAGTTGTTCACTACAATGATTTCTGTAAGAGGCAGAGGCAAGACTTGAAAGCTAGGGGTAGTCTATGTTCTTTCCACCATGCTGCTTCATATTACGGGAGCATATGTTAGGCACAAAGTATACGACAATAGCCACTATAAGAATTGACATAAGGAAGGTAGGAGAAGACTACATAAAAGTAGAAAAGAAGTGTGTTTTCAAAGATGAACATGTATACACATCCATGCGTGTACATGCGCACACATGGGTACCCACGTTTGTATATGTAACAAAGATTGAGTAGAAAGACCGGATTGTGGTGGAGAAAAAAACAAGCAAATATTCAAGTGTCAAAACTGTAATTTCTTGCTTGAGGGAAATAAATAAGAGGAACCTGCAATAGATAAAAAATATATCATGTAGCTTATTTATGAAACTTAAAGTACAAAATTTTCTGATGTAAATTTTCTACTTTAATGACTGGATGCATTTCAATGAGCACATTTAAAAGACAACTTATTAGCAGACATAATTGCCACACCCTTTTAGTATTCCATTGGGCAGTAAAAAGTCAAAATTACTTCCTAGGACCTATAAAATAATGTTTACATTTAGAAATAAGGTCTGAAGTAATTCTTAAAGTTATTTTACTTTATGGAAAATACACTATTGATTTTCATTTAAAAGCCAATCTCATTTAAAGCATATCTTCTTCTGACATTATAACTATTAGAAGAATTTTAGCTGGAAAAATACCAACAGACAGCACAGAAATAGGTATTTAGTCTGAAACTAATATCCCAGTTCAAACAGTAATTTGGAATTTTCTTTATTCTAAATGTTGAGAAGCAAAAGTAGCCAAAAACGGAAAAGATGAACAGTTAGAGAACCACATTATTCTAGATACAATTGCCTCTTAGTTACGTCAATTCTACATTCCAAACTAGAAAGAAAAATTAGAGAAGAGCTATACATAAAGATGGCTAGCTCTAAGACATTGATTTGTTTAATCATCTTATTTTATTTTCTTAATGTTTATTTATTTTTGAGAGAGACAGAGACAGAATGCGAGTGGGTTAGGGGCAGAGAGAGAGGGAGACACAGAATCCGAAGCAGGCTCCAGCCTCCGAGCAGTCATTACAGAGCCCAACATGGGGCTCGAACTTACAAGCTGCGAGATCATGACCTGAGGCGACGCTCAACCGACTGAGCCACCCAGGCACCCCAATCATCTTATGTATGTATGTATGTATGTATGTATGTATGTATGTATGTATGTAT